GAAGAGATCGACCGGCGAATTGGAGTAGCCAGTGGCGTTCTGCGTGAACTAGCCCGACCCATTGTGACTAGAGCAGAGCTCAGTCTGAAAACTAAGCTTTCAATATTCAAGTCGATCTTTATCCCCATACTCACCTACGTCGTGAATCGTGGACCATCACTGAATAACTTCGATCCCGGGTACAAGCTGCTGAAATGGGCTCTCTTAGACGAGTCGCTGGCCTTACGCGTCTCGACATGGTCCGGAATGGTGACATCCGGAAGAGCCTTGGTGTACAGCTTTTGCTTCTCAAGATTGATAAGTCACAGCTGCGATGGTTTGGGCATGTGTTGCGAATGCCTCCAGAAAGGAACGCTTAGCAACTGTTCCTTGCAAATCCGACCGGCGAAAGGCCCGGGGAACGGCCAAGATTAACCTGGTGCAGACATATGGAAGGAGTCTGTTCCAGACTGCATTTGTCTTTTGCCGAAGTTCAGACTCTGGCACAGGATCGGGAACGTGTCTACCTCCGCGATCCGAAGGGAGAGCGGCGATGGAAGATGGTAACGATGACATGGTAAGGATACCATGTCACATTGCTGAATATGAAATCGATAAGTCCTGTATGGCTACCAAAAGTCAACGCAGAGAAGGCAATCTGTGAAAGGGTTCATTGCGATTGACAACCGAAGATACCAAGATACCGGAATTGGAACTACAGAGAAGCTGAACTATACCATAAATAACGCACGGCTAAGAATGGTGCCATTGATCTTCATGTGAACAGAAGAGAGTGAACCTGCGAGCACTCTAATGTGGGAATAAAACCGGTGCGTGGTATTGGTGAATGGACAGGGCTGCAATTCGGAGCTATTCGTCATCAGATTCGTTTATACATCTCCAGTTTTGATGGTACTGATTAGTGACAAAAAACGCAACCTGAACCCAAGAGTCAGAGATGAAGTTCAAATGATTTCTGGCATGGTGATATTCCATGCATTTCGAAAGTTTCAAGTTAGTGATTATGAGCTGCAGCTGTTTCAGATCGAAAGATTGCAGTTGAGATGATTTGGACCTGAAATCATGATACCAGTTGCGCAGGATGGAGTCTCATCATTAGGGTAGAGGTAGGCGGCCAAGACGCAAACCAGGTGTGAATCTTCGAAAACTGGTGCCTCATCGTCGGCTCTGTTCGAAGTAGCAATCAGGGTAATTTTCAGCTGTTCTCAGACTGTTTCGGTTTTCGGACAGTTTTCAGTTTTTGTTCTTGGAGAGATTTATGCAGAGTGATTCATCGGCGCTTACCAGTCTTATTTCAGGCTTCTTCTAGAAAACCGTTTTTATTTGAATGGCTATCCAGCATTCTCATTGAGGTGTCGGCACGAAATATCTGACAATACCGATTCATCATGCATGTACATATTTTAAAATTTTGTCTTAAATCGTAATGTATCTGCAGTGATCTACAGATTAGCATAGATTGTGATTTGTCATTTTTTCGCTACCAACGATAATCTGTGGATAATTCCACATTCACCGTTTTGGCTGTTATCTCAAATATCTTTCACTGCTCGATGTTGGGTGTAAAGCTGCGTGCAGATGTGCGCACCTGATTATGAGATCCGAATTATTCAGTTAGTAAATCATCGAACTCTGACAGAACTGAGAGGTCCCAGGTGCGAACTTTGTTCGGGTCACTCGCCTTTCTTCCTTTTGAGACTGCTAAATGACAATCACCTTGTGAGAAAGAATAAGGAGACTACATACAAAGCTTGCTACTTAGCTGGAAAATCTGTTTAAAATAAAGCACTCCTTTCTTGATTGGTTTCCTCAGAAACAAAATCTGCTCTGTGCGAATCGATAGAAAGAGCCCCAGAGATGGGACCAGCAAAAAATAGTAAAGAAGACCGATGGTACTATTATGGCACTTATTTTTTTGAATTAGCTTACAAATGAGTAATGGTACCGTTCCCTTGCTTTTAGTCGCCCAGGGGGACGATTTAAGCAGGCTACAGCTCCATGGTATTTGAGCACCTGCAGTGCATGGATGCAGAGCCATGTCACTGACGAAACCGACATATTTCCAACAGGTACAAAATTTTCTACCTTCCGATTATTAATTTCTAAAAACAAATGTTTAGAGTTCATATTTAGCTGTTTTACTCAAGAATTTGTTTCAGCGGCAGTGAATTATTATTTTACATCTTTTGATTGTGGAAAATTTCGGCGGCATTTTTTGAATAACCGTTTGAATTACTAATATTTTGCGTTTATTGATATTTTTGTTTTAGGTGTTTATATTTAATAATTGTTTTTACTACAGTTGAAGCCTGATGTTAGTTTAAAGAAACGTAGCTTTGTTTTAGGTCACTCAAACAATAGCTCGGGTAATCGGGCCACGTTCTCAAATCGCCATTCCAGCCCAAGGTATTGTTGAACTCCGTGATGCCCTTACCGAGCTATTGGACGAATACGGTAAAGGTAAGGCAGTGATAATCGTTTACGACATTGGTTTGTCATTAGAATACTGCTCAACTTTGTCCTTTAGAATATCCTGGCCAACTACCAGATGGGATGCGACTTCGCGTCGATAACAAGTTGTTCTACTTCGATATTGGGCAGAACAATCGGGGAGTGTTCATGCGCATTTCGGAGGTATTTAGTTTTTTGATCAGTGCTCAGGTTTCACTTACAGTATCTACACACCTACTTGGCAAAATTGCTTGAAACGGTAGGATCGATTTTTGACAGGCAGGTAGTGTACGCAAAGTTCTGATGTTAATTTTCAGCTGTGTCTAATCCATCATTTA